TATTTTTTATCATAAATTGTTAGTTATCGTTAATAATTGATTTTTTAATTTTCTATGGGTATATTAAAAAAAAACAATTGTCCCAACTATGTTTTTCTTGATCAATATCTTTGTTAACATGTGAAAATAAGTCGAGTTTAGAGAATAAATAATAATTATTTAACAGAAATTGTAACAGATTTTCGGAATGAGATTTCATTAATTAATGATTTAAACAGTGTGACAAAATTGACATTATAAAAGAACCGCGTCGATAAAATCGTTGAATTAAGACGAAAATTAATAAAAACAAAAACAAAAACAAAAAATGCGTCAAAAAAGCGTCAAGTTTTTAGATCGAATTGAGGACTTAATGGCCACAACTTTATTCATGTGGTAAAACTATAATTTTCATATAAAAATCAATCATAAATGGAACTTTACAAAATGTTACAAAAAAATAAAATATCACAAAATGAAAGCACAAAACGCGTCGATAAAATCGTGGTCATGTCAACTATCCAAGGCAATCTAGAACAGATGCAATTTTCCGTCACCGCCTCCTGATACATTGTACAAATCTGTTAAAAATTGCATTCTACGTGTTTTCGAAGAATCTCATTTTTTTTGATGTTAGTTTATGTGGATCTAATCAGAATTATTATTGACGTCAAAATTTTTTGATAGAATTTTTTGAACATTGTTTTCAAGTTCCCAAGATTTTCTTCTGGAACCAAAAACAACACAAGATATGCGTCAAAACTATGTCTCTAATAAATAAGTTTGTATTGAATTTTAAGGCTTCATGACTACAACTTTATTGGCTTGAAAGAGCTTGAATTTTGACTAATGAAACTTTAGAATTTAGAAAAACTAAAATAAGAATTCACCGATTTTTCAAAAACAAAATTGTCTGAAAAACAGTCGCTACACATGCCATCATTTGTTTTTTGCCAAAATAATCACCAAAAAGCTAGCCACACCGCGTCGATAAAATCGTGGTCATGTCAACCATCCTTACATTAACATTTTTTTTTTTAATAAAGATGGGAGTTTTTTGTTGTTTTTCCTCACCTCTGCACAAAAGGAGCACTTGCAGTCGGCAATACAGCACGCATCCTTGGAAGGCACTTCCGCAAGACAGAGTTTGCAAAGTAGTAGAGTCTCTTTGTGTATGGGCACGAACCCCCCCGTGGAGGAATTGAGCGAATATCGCGACGTCGAAGCTAAAGTGAGGATACTGGAACATCGCGAACAAAACCTCGAGGTGGACTCTTGTGGAGGTACTCTGAGTCTGTTGACAGGTTGCAAAGGCTCAACACTGCTCGACGATGACGACGATCGGAGCACTCCAGTGAGTGCCAAAACTGTCTCGTATTTCCGCAGACTGGCCATACTGGCAGCAGGCTTGATGAGGTTGCCCGAACTTCCATTTTGTTTCACTAGAGGGGTTTGGGTCTCAGAACCGCTGTTTCGTCGACGATTTACTAGGGTTTTTAGGCCGGGCATAGCCAAAAGATCCACTTTGCTGCGGGACCGGCGAGACGCCGGGGGGGATGCATGAGTGGGGGCGATGGAGGTGACTAGACGGCGGCCCCGCGGTTCCAGCAATGTGGCGTTGTCAGCCACTTTTCCTGGAAAAATAACACTCCATTGACATTTGACATAATTTTGACAATTCTCTACTGGTTCTGGGGATTTTCGTTACTACGTTACTAGGCTATGTGGTTTCTTTCTGGTGACACAAAACTACAAGAAATTACCATTTGAACTTTTACGAAAATTGGTTTTTCATGTTGTTTGTAACTAGAATTTTCTGTCAACCTGCTGTCAACTATCCCATACAAGCTGACAGGTGACTTAACCTAAATTTTGACACTGGTTACGATATCTTTTGTTTGTCACCAAAAACCAACCTAAACAAATTTATGGAAACCCATTCACGAATATCCCCAAAGCTTAGGGAGTAATTTCTTGTAGATAAGACAATATTGTCAAAAACTGAAATACTGTAAACTGGGTAAACTCAGATAGACTTTACTTTTTTGACATCTTAGTGAAAAACTTTATAACCAGAAAAGTACTAGAATTACTGTGCTAAAATTTGTAAATTGTAGTAATTTGAAACATGTTGGGTTGGTATCGCGATATTCAGACAGTGTTTTGACAGAATTTTGACACTTTATTATTGTAAAAATTTGGAAATACGAAAAGCAGTGCCATGCAGAATGCCATGAATGATGTTACCAACATATTTCACAACTACGCGGTAAGATGTTATGTTATTCTAAATATTTTCATTACAATTTTTGGAGGTTAGCATACTTTTTTCAAGACATTTCTACTAAAATGTACACAAATTGTCAAAAAGAATATTGTCAAATTTTTCAGAGATTTACATAGTGTGAAAAAGGTTGTTTCCAAAAAGGTTATTTGACAGAAAACATCTGTCTTCGACAACAATGGGTAACCAACCTTAGACATTCAAAATTACTTCTGAGAATTCTAGTTACAAACAACATGAAAAACGTAATTTTCCTAAAAGTTCGAATCCTAGGTGGTAATTAATTTCTTGTTGATAAATCTGGGTTACGAGTCGTAAAAACTAAAATGTTGTAAAATATTCTTGCATGGTTTTATGACGCCTTTTATCCAATTGTTAGAATGTTTATCGTGACATTACTGCAATAATTATAGGCTTACACATGTTTTATTTTACTTTTTGATTATCTTTAACAGCACTTGTTTCTTTTATTTTCAGTAATTAAGCGTATTGCATTTCTTATGGTGTTCGTATAAAACATTTTTCGGTTATTAAAATAAATAAATAAAAGTTGTTTTCTGAATATTTCAAAGCCTACGTAACAAAAAAATATGAACAAATTCTTGAGTTGAATACTATTTAATGCAATAAATGTTCAAAATGGGCACCGTTCCTTTCTGGACAAATTGCAAATCAAAAGTAACATACATTTCGGGTAATTTGCCTAATTTTATTCCTAAAACGTTCCTTAAGGTCCTCAATGTTATTCGATTTTGTCGCAAATCACACTCGAAATGTTACGATCGTTTTGAAGTTTGTCAGACAGGGAACGATATTCATTTGAAATATTTGCTGTATTAAATATAAATTAATCTTATCTTATAAGATTGGTTTTATTTTTTATCACGTAGGCTTTGAAAATAATCAGAAAATAAATAGTATATTGTATTCCTCGCAAAACGACCTTTCAAACGAGGTGTCACTTGTCATACTATTACATTAAAAAAAATTTATAGGTGGCTGTGCATTTCAGAAAGCAGATAAACAAAAACTATATGTGTCAAATGATGAGCAACGAAAAATAAAAATCGACTTGTTTCAAGGACTTTTTACGAAAATCGCTTATATTCAAATTATGAATTTTATTCCAGTTAAAAATTTCACTCTGTATAAACAAACAGAAAAGCGAAAACCCTACATTGAGAAGTTTTCCTAAAGGTCAAAAAATGTTAAAGTAATTCAGTAAATGTAGTTCATTTCACAATCACTGGAAGGTTGGAAAATTTGTTATTACATGCCGTGGTCGGGAACTAATTTATGAAGTATGATCAAGGTTACAAGTCCATCAAATGTCAAAATAACTCATTCATTTTTTTTGTATAGCAACTATGTCAATGCATCAACTTTGACAGAAAACAGATGTTTTACTAATTTAAAAAAATTGATTGTGAATAAAATAGTTAATAGTATTCAAACGGTAGAAATGTCCATTACCCATTGTCGAGATTGCGCTTTTTGATTGCATATCTGAGCACTCGGGGTAATAAAACATTTCCCAACTCGCGTGTAATATACTATTAACATTAAATGATATTTTAAAAAACTCTTTTTTAGTTCGGAAATATCCGATTTTTGAGCTTATTATTCACTATGGTCAAAGAAAAAACAAGTACTTTAGTACTTTTCAATTATATTAAAAAAAAACATATACAGGGTGTTTTCTTAGTATTTCCAAAAATTGCGTTGAAAAAAAACGATGGTAAAATAAAGCTTCGTTATAATTACTTTATTTAAAACACCCTGTATAAAGCAGAAAATATCAATTTGACTCTTGTCAATCTTTTTGGTCCCCACTTTTTTGACACAAAAATGGTCAAAAAAGTTTGCCTTCATAAATGTAGCCTAATTTCTGTCAATTTGTAGTCAAAATGATAGAATTTTCAAAAATAGAGTCCAGTTCTGTCTTTCATAAACATCTAAAAATCCCATTTACACTGTACAAAATTCCATTTCTCGTTTCTTTTTTAAAGCATTTGTACTAAACAATACTCTTACCATATTTATGCAATGTCACTTCCACTCGCCATAAAAATTGCAAATCCTATTTTTAAATAACAATGTAAAACAGAGTTTTGTTATTACGTTTTACTTCGCTCACTTTTGCAATAAAACTATGTAATTGTAAAAATTATTCAATTTAAAACATTAAAAACACATTTGTTGCAGTAACAAACTTTCAAAAATTGATAATTTCGAGAAAAAGACGTTTTTATAACTCTGCAAACATTGAAAACTATGATTAGAATTCTGCAATTTGGACCGTTACCTACCACAAATAAACTTTCTGTGTTTCTGTTATACACAAGTTTTACAACCACATAAATTTCGCAATCAAAAAATTCATAAAAAGCCAAGAATATTTCAAGTAATTAATTCAAGGATCTAATAATTTTCCAACAATTCTTAAATACGGAAACCGTGTTGTCCACATGTTTCAGGACTGTGTAAATCTTCATTTTAATTAATTAATAAGTGAGCAAACAGTATTTTATCTTTTTATCTGACAACGAAAACAACAAAATCGGTATTATCTCCATTTTAATTGTTGTAAAGTAAACAAAGTCTAATAAAAACGATTGTAGAAAAAGTCAATTGCTCATAAAACGCGTAATTTAACGTCACAAAAGTGACCCTTTTATGTTTTTCAGTATTCAGCATTAAACATTTTGCAGTACTAACTGCACTAGTTAAATTAATAAACACTTTCGAAAATGTTAACAAGCGTTAAAATAGTATATGTAATTCGGAGTAAAGTGAGTTTATGTAGCTCATCTGAATTATTTGCCTCACTACGTTCGTCACCTTTTTTTGTAAGCAAATCTTGTTTCACTGGCGACTCTTCTTGTTCGGTGAGTGTACCGTATCCGACCGACCATGAGCAAATTGCTCGACGTCTTTCTCTTCGTGTTGTCGGTGGATCAGCCCAAGCAGCACTCAAACACAATCTTCGTCTTCCGGTTACACCTCCACGTAAGGGCAACGATGTATTATCGCCACAGAGTGGCTGGATGGGTAACGTCATGGTGATGGGGGCCCTTCAATTTACGGGGAGCCACAAAGGAGAGTTCCTCTGACGCCTGGAGCAAATGTAAAAAATGAAATCGTTTTCAAATTTTTGAAAATTTTTATTTTTTTGAGTTTTGCATATGTATAAAATTGTATGTAACAACACACAATACAAATATACCGGGTGGGGCATCGGTTACGCGCACTTGATAAATTGCGACTTCTAATTAATTAAAACTGTCGATGTTTCATATACATAACTAATTATTGATATGGTATAATTTGAGAATTTTTCTAATTTTTTTTGATAATAAATGAGTCCGTAACAGTTTTGTGTGTTTTATGAATACTTTCTGTTAATTTACCTATAAAGTTTTTACACTAAATGAATCTGTACCTGTCAGCGCATCAAACTTTGATATCACAATTCCAAATTTTGACTTGGTTAGCCAAATAATCGCTTTTTTTATTTAAACACAAACCAGACCCATGATTTATGACAAAATGGTATAATTTGCCAACAAAAGAATAATTTACTAGTAGCCGACCGCTTTAAAGGGTCTTTTTGTTGTAAACCTTGGAATCTTACCTCAATTGCAGTTCCCCATTGTCACCTAAATTTACGATGGCACAAGTAGCAGGTCTTAAATAAAAATGATTTTCAAAGTTAGATGGGAAATTGCGTTTTATTCAAAATCTAATTGGTATTTTTTTTCTCTGATTTTGTAAACAATTGTAGGAAGTGAATCTGCGTAGGTCAGTATAAAAATTAGAATTAAACTTTTTGGGAGAAAATTACTTTTAATTTTTTTTTTTTGGCTTTATTTGTAAATGAAAAATACCAAAAAATTAGAGAATGTACCTTACTAATGCTCAGGTAAGTGTGAAAAAATTCAACAATTTTATTTAATTAGAAGTGGGGATTTCTTTTCTGCGCGTAACCGATGCCCCTCCCGGTATGTAACAACACACAATATAAATATATAGGGTTTCCCAAAATTAGCAAATTAGAGGAAAAAGATTAGTAAGATATCAGGAACACGGAAAAAATTAAAAAAAAATCAATTTCGAAATTATAGGGATTAAAATAGATGTCAAAATTTTTTAACATAAAATTTTTAAATCTTTTTTTCTGCATCCTAGTAATATACAGCATGTTCCGTCGAAACCCAACATTAGAAGTATTGGGAGTTCTAACAGTGATATTTATCTAAAATTTTGTTTATAATCACAATCGGTTAGGTTCTGCTCAATGAAAATATCTTCAAGATGGCGGCACTTCCTGTTACACCGGAAGTGGAAACCAACTTTGTTATTTTAAATAGAAAGTTAGTTTTTTTTTATTGCGTTATTGAATTACTTAAGTGATTTTGAAAAAGTTTTCATTAGCCTTCCCTATACCTAAGTTTAACCGTTTTCGAAATATTTAGACATTTTAAAAAAATTTTTGGATTTTAATTTTCTTTTTTAAAAATCGATAACTCTACCATTTTTTATTATGTTAAAACCGTATTTGGGTATACCAGACAAAAAGGTTAGATCTTTCCTTTGGTGTATTCATAATTGGAAAAATAATTAACAAACCGCCAAAATGTAAGGTTACGTTTAGGAAACTTCAAATACCATTAACTCAATTTTTCTAAATGAAACACTACAATTTTTTCTTCACTAAATGGAGGAGAATTTAGTTCTGCTTCGATCTGTATTAACATTCCCTATACCTATGTTTGATAGTTTTCAAGTTATAGTAACTTTTTTTGATATTGTGACAAATTCATTAGCTACTTTAGCATAGATTGTCATAGAAATAAAAAAAAATAGAATATCAAAGTTATTCAAATTTACATTAGATAAATTTAATTTGTATTTACGAAAAAAATAACACAATTATGAAAAACAACTTGTCGTTTTTTCAGTGAGAAATATTTCCATGGCAAACTATGCGAAAACTACCATGGATAGTAATGAATTTCTTCAATTGTAAAAAAAAGTCAAAATAACTTGGAAATCATTAAATTTAGGTATAGGGAATGTTGATACAGATCGATAAAGAATTAAATTCTCTTTCATTTAGTAAAGAAAAAATTGGGGCCTTCCATTTGAAAAAATTCAGTTACGGGTATTTAAAGTTTCCCAAACGTAACCTTAAATTTTGGAGGTTTGTTAATTATTTTTCTAATTATAAATACACGAAAGAAAAGATCTAACTTTCCTTTTTCATATGCCCAAATACAATTTCACAATAATTAAAAATGGTAAAGTTATCATTTTTGGAGAAGAAAATGCAAATTAAAACAATTTCAAAAAAGTCTAAATATTTCGAAAACGATAAAATTTAGGTATAGGAAAGTCTGATAAAAAATCTCTAAAAATCACTTGAGTAATCCAAAAACGCAATAAAAACATAACTTTCTATTTAAAATAACAAAATTGTTACCCACTTCCGGTGTAACAATATTTTCATTGAGCAGAATTTAAACGATTATGGCTATAGTCAATTTTAGATAAATATCACTGTTAGAACTCCCAATACTCCCACGTAGTGCCCCGTTAGTACGTTTTTTTGGGACACTCTGTAGCCTGTACTGACTTTATAATAACATTTAAAAAATATGACATTTTTGAGTTTAAAAATAAGTACATATTTTTTTCTCTTTTTAAAAATAGAATTTCTAAAATGCACATAAGAATCTGGCAATAAACACAACACTGAGAAAAGCCCTAAAATTTTACATTGAAAGGAAAAATGCAATTTGAATGGCCTTTAGCACAGATGAGTAGAACGAAGTTGAAGCACTCACAACACGATTTATTCTGAATAAAGTTGTGATAAAAACTTCAACTATAAATATGTCTCGCTTAAATACATACAGAGGAGTCAAATTTTACCAGTCTTGGGTTAAAGTTTCAAAAATTCAAATGATTGTTTTTCGGGCAATTTCCTTGTTTTTTTTTATAAAATCAAAAATTTTCTTGTAATCTAAGTAATGATAGTTCATTATTCTAAAAAAGTTATTGTGTTCAAAAAACACATTTTTACATATTTAACAAAAAATANAAAATTTTCTTGTAATCTAAGTAATGATAGTTCATTATTCTAAAAAAGTTATTGTGTTCAAAAAACACATTTTTACATATTTAACAAAAAATAAATGTGAAACTGAATAATAAAATAATCGATAGTAAACAAAGAGAAAACTTTTTATTTTGAATAAATTCGTCCATAAAATTAAAATTCTAAGACAGTTCATTGCACCCTCTTCTATGTATGTTGCATATCACGTCTGACATGATAAAAAACAATCTGAAATTTATTGCTTGTTGTTTTTCTTAGTCACGTCTTTCCTCCACATATGAATTTATTAATTCTCCATAAATTTCCAACTAAGCATAAAATTCAATTAAAACATATGTTTTTTCGAGTTTTTTTATGTTTCCCAGATTTGCATAAACCGGTAATACTATTTTTACCAACAAACTTTTCTAGAAACCACTATAATAAATATCAAAAAGCTTACCATCATTGTGTGTTCTTGTAATGCACAATCCAAGGTACTTCTGAAACAAAAAAAACACGATTAAGGATTTTTTTAATATTCTCACACTGGAAAAAAAATAATTAGAAGGAATTTTTCTAATTCGATTTCTTTAATCTGAAATTTTATCAAAAAAGAATGTGCTTTCACAGTTGTTGGCTAATCTTTTCAGAGATGTTATTTTGGGATTCAACACGTGTGTATTTTAAAAATTCCTATTAACATCGGAAAATTTATTAAAAATTAAGGTATGCAGGTACGCTAGAACATTACTTTTCCATTTGTGACTGAAAGGTGACGCACAAGTACAAGTTTTCTCTTATTTTTAAACAAAATAAATTTGATTGCGTCTATTTTTGTGCCGAAATGACATGGTTTTCGCTTTAGGAAACAAGAGTTCATTTTATTTATATTCAAACAAAATCTATATATTTTTATTCTCAATTTTTTATTCATTGTTTTGTTGGCACTACCTGCAATCACGCAGTTCTCATTCGACTTGCATGTGTGTAATTAGGAAGTTTGAAAAAACGCAAAGTTGTTAATAATTTTAATTATGTTTATTTTCTATAAACAATCTGCCTAAAGTGATTAAAACTGAAAAATGTGGGTAATAATCAATTATTTAAGTACTTGAGAACAAAAAATAATTCACCTAAGGTCAACACAATTTCTAAAGGAACAGTAAACTGGAATCAGAGCAGAAATGGTACGACGAAATACTAAAGAATTTAATCACTGAGGCAACAATTTCAAGCAAAAAGTCGCATATTTTGAATAAATTTTAGTTTTAGTCTAAACCTGTTGCAAAAATAAAAATAAATTGCAAATGTGAAAACAGGTTTGAACCTAGAATAAAAAATTAAATAAAACAATAGTCAAGACCGCAGACAGTTTGTTTAAAAATTATTAATAAATAACAACAAACAATAAAACTATTTTTATTTAATACAGTTCGAAAATCTAATTTTTCTGTTATTTTGAAATTTTATCAACAGGAAGAAAACTTATCACAAAAATGTAGCAAAGTGTGTTGAGTTTAACTTAGCTGATAAGTGTCATCATTCTGGAACAATTTTTACATAAAAATAATAAACTGAATTCTGTTTACTATTAAGTAATAAAAATTTCAAGAAAAATTGCAGATTTGGTTTAATTAACATCTGATTAAAATGGCTGATAACTGAAATCAAGAAAACCTGAACATAAAATATGCAAACTAGATTTTTATGTAAAAGGTTTGCAACTTGGCTATTTGGGAAAAATACATAAATGGAAAATTTTACTACCTAATCCTTTTTTCATGACGTGATTCGAAATTGAACTGAATTAAATACCAAGTGACAAAAAATCTATTGGCAACACTGAGTTATTGAACAGCAATGTTTCAAGTGAGGGCTAAATTATTAAAGTTTGACGTTTTAAATTTGCCAAACTAAAATTTTCAATTTGACACCAACTTGAGGAAAAAAATCATAATCATTTACAGTCACCCGGTATTAAAAAAATACAGTTGAGAAAGTGTAAAAACCTTGAACTACAAATTTGGTGAAAATATAAATCATGTAAAAATGATGTAGACGGTCAAGGTTTTTTACTTAGAACAAATCACTGAGTATTATTTCAAAGTTCAATTAATTAATTAGTAATTATTTGAAGTGTCAAAATCCACTCGAGATTGTTGCATTTACTATTTACATAAATTTCGGGAGAAATATTAAGTTTTTTCGTCTTTGAAGAGTGATGAAAATAATTTTAATTTTTTGAAACAATGTTGCCACTTTAAAATTAATTAATTAAGTTTTTTTTTCATTCCAAGTTTTGATTTTTCGTGTTTTTAAACATCATTAAATATCAAACAGCAAAAAATCGCAGAACCTCATTAATTTAATGAACTCATCATTACTCCATCTTCAAAATTAATTTGTAGATTTGTAATAGATCACGCGATATTTTTTCATTTACAAAAAATCTTGACTTGGATGTGGAAAAATACCACAATCCAACACCCAGAATAGTTAATGAAATGCAAAAAAAAATTCTATGCAAGAAAAATTGAAGGCAATAATAATAATAATTCACCCTGTAAGTGACTAATCTCACGAGAACTTAGGGTCCAAATTTCGATGATTCAACCTCAACAATAATAAAATATCAATACTATTAGCTCACCAGATATTATTGCTTCCTCTATACGTGACTAGTCAAGAGAAAAACAAAAAAGCTAATACTAATATAACGAACAAATTAATTTTTAATTTGGTGATCAAATACCGAAATACAGTTAAAAACATCACGTTGTTTACATTTATAAAACAGATACTCCTTTGGACCATTCAAATATTTGTAATTATAATAAACTTTAAATTTAGATTAAGATGCAAATACCGGAATAGCAAAACAAGGTCATCTCATGGTAATCATCTTCAATCACATTATTGTTACTACTGTTTATTACATGTTGGTTTAATCAAAATAATTACATTAAGTATCAATTATCATTAGAATGCCTCTTAGTAGCCTTTCTTGGTCATAATTACCTAAAAGGTAAGAATTATTAGAACAATTAGACGATTTTCGCTAATATTTTTGTCGAAAATTTGAGCAGAAACATGTCAAGTGCAAGAATAAAGCAGTTTGAGAATCTTTGTAGGTGTGTCCAGTTTGTTTTCCGAGAATGCAAATAATATTCTCTTCTCAGTGTGATAGTAATAGTCCTATATCAAGATTTTAATTAATGATTTTGCATTAAAAATCTTCCAGTGACGTGGGCGGATTTTTTTCTAATTTTATCTAAAAATACATACTTATTTTCTATGAATGGTTGGATAAGCATCTCAATTACTTGCAATTCTTATTGAATAAAATTGTTCGTGCGTCATGTGTTTTTGAAATCGGAAAAAGTCGAAACTAGGTCGACAACAAAGGTACATTTTGCAATGGGAACAAAATAATTCCACTCATTATAAAATTTACGTGAAGATTTTTTCCTTGGTTGCGTGTGATTTTTGCATCTTCGCCTTATTTTTTTCAATTTTTGATAAGGATTCCCTCAAATGTCACATACATACAGCGGGAATCAAACTTGTTTGTCCACGCGCTAAATTGTGATATTAATCAGTTTTTTTGTAGAAAAAAATAAGTATTTCAACGAAGTGGACAAAAAACATGAAAGTTGATTTATATCGTTTTATAATTAAGAAGAAAAGATTCAATTCTTACGTTAGTGTCACCAACCACAACATAACAAATATACAGAGTGCGCCAGAACTCGCACCCCAGAGAAAAATTTTATCTATAAAAATTTTGAAGTTATGAGAGTTTCAATTTTGCACTTTGACTATTTATTTCTGTTGGAAAGATAATTATCCAAGTTTTTTTTGCTACAGGCTATTAGAAGAGGAAACAAAAAAGCTGTATCCTAAATTTTAACATTCTTTAATGTTGTTTGTGGCTTTTATTGGTAACATTTTTGTACCTTTACTAAATAATTATAAAAAAAAAACATATTCAAGATCATCAGTTACGCTAAATAGACATAAAAAATGTCAAATGTCAAAAAATAAATGTCAAAATTTTTTGACAGATAGAATTTTTTAAACATTTCTTCCATGTTCCTGGTATCTTATCTTACTTGAAATTTTTCTCTGGCGGACGAGTTCTGGCGTACTGTATTTAGCTGATAAAAAACTGAGTGATCAACAAGTATTGATCCAGTTGATAATGAAAAACTAGAAAAAAAAAGTGGCCTCTGATTCTGAAATCAAGTTGGCAACATTGTGTACAAAGCAGGAAATAAAAATTGTGCGTGGGTGTAAATTTCATGAACGTATGTCGAGCTTAGATTGTTACGTTTAATAAAATTCCAATGTACATATTCTACAGAGAGTAATGATGTTCTGGGGAATGCTTTCAACATATATAAATTTGACAGATAACTGACAGGTATTAATGTTACTATTCAAGACATACGTTCATAAAATTTACAGAGCACTCTGTTTTTATGTATGGTTCATTTCTGAACCATAAAACGTTACGAGACAAACACAGAAATACGTTCATATCGCTATCTTCCTTTACACTGTGAGAAAACATGTGACAAACATATTAAAAACGTCACATTTTCTAATATCTTTTAACTAACGAGAAGAACAAAGACGAGGCTTAGTATTCGATTCTTCCTTGCCAACATTGAAACAAGAAAATACTAAGTCGGGAGCGAACTACATATTATCGTATCAACAAGAAATTACAACCTAGGATTTAGGGATATTCGTGAATAGGTTGCCATAAATTTGGTTAAGATATCGTAACTAGTGTCAAAAATTTAGGTTAAGTCACCTGTCAGCTTGTATAGAGAACTCAATTGAAGTATTAAAAATTACTTCTGAAAAATCTAGTTTCAAACAACATGAAAAACGTAATTTCCTAAAAATATAAACCCTAGGTGACAAATCTGTATTCTCTATCAAAATTTACTTCACGGCTTGTAATAATTAATATTTCATAAAAAACAAATGTTTTATAAAAAAATAAATTTGAGTTATTTCAAAGCTAAATTCGTAGTATTAAACATGATAATACAATACAACAATTTAGTAATATTTTTTGCACTTTATTTTCTGTTCTGTCAAATGTCAATTTCACACGAAGCTACGTCGTAGATTGAACTATACTATACTCCAAAAGTTTTATGGCAAATTACTGATGAAACTTAATTTCAAAATTGATCAAAAATTTAATTAAAATCGTTTTTAATTTAAATTCAAGTAAATTTAATTGGCTTCAGCTTATTATCTTTTTGGTATAAATGACATATGTTTGAAAAAAATGAAAGTTTGTATTAAATAAAATTAATTTAGTAGTGAAATGAAGTCATTCATAAACAGGTGATCTGTCTGAGATTTAGCATTATTTCCGGTGTGCCAATTACCAGGATATAACGCAAAACACCCTAGAAATTTCCATTTTGTTGCCAACTCAAACATAAATCATTGCCAACTAAATTTTTCGCTCCTTTGGTTCGATTTCGTAATAAAACTGTTGTCACTAAAAAACTAGTTTCCCTCCTTTTATACAAAAAAGTTCATTAGCCCACATTTTAGTGAGTTGTACCCAAGCAAATAAAAAATTGTCACCGCTTGTTAAAAAGTTTAAACATACTTATTTATAGGTGCAATTAAAGTTAGCACCTTATAAATAGTAAACAAACAAAAAATCTAGACATTTGCACATAAACAATCTGCTTTTGCGGTGACTTTCTTTTCTTTTGAACTAGGGAAAATCGTTGGAGAGTTTCTACAGCCCTCCGAATTAGAAAGTAAGTTTTGAGACCTCATTCAGAGGTGTTGGAAGTAATTTGTATGCATTGTTATTGAGTTTGATTTGTATTCAAAACACAAACTCAGTCTGGAGTCTAAACCGAAGAAGTTATCATCTAAGCCTCGAAAATAACAAGTGTAATTGTGGAAAATTGCCATTGTTTGTATGTAAGACGTCAGCGACAATCACTCGATGACTATTTTAGACTGTTTTCAATACAACTAATGTATAATTTTAACTTGGAAAGTGTTTTTTTTTAACGAAACCTTCGAAAAATCAAACTTGCACTCAAATACGTCAGTTTGGTGTAAAACGTGTTAATAAAGGTCACCACAGAACTGAAACCCGTTCAATTCTGGCACCAAAAAATATATTTACCTGAGAAATAAACTCGTCCTAGTTTAGGTTTGGGTAAAAGAGCTTGAAATAGGCACTGCGCCACACCTGATACCAATCACAGTTCAAAAACTGATTTGATACACATCGTTCAGGTATCTATCCACCTATTTAGGTTTTTGTTTACTAAACTCACGTTCAGCTGAACAAACCACTACTCGACTACTGCCACGTTCTGACCTCTAGTCCTGTTTTCGAACCGATAAAGATATGAAAGTAGACACCATTCGTATTCTGGTGTATTACTGGTTGCATAAGTTGCACTTCTTTGACCTCAAAAAGGATGACAAACCGATTCGGGCTTCTGACTAGGCATAAACTACTAGGTTCAAGCCTAGTCATAGTGTCATTGATTCTATTTAATTAAAAAAAAATGTTTTTACTGTTATTACTACAATGCTATCTAGAAATTTAAAACGTGTGTCTGCAGAATATTAAATGTCACGGTGACAAATGTCAAAATGATTTTTATGTAAATTATGACAGGAAACGATTTGTATGAATAAACCCCATCTACACCCCATTGTAGGATGTTTTGAAACATTTCACAGAGTAATTCAATTTGCTTAGATCAATATTTTAATTTTTAAATATTTTTTTGACGTAGCTGACGTACGAACTGTAATGCGACATACGTCCTCAAGTAAAGATTTTCGGTTTATTTTCTAATTTAGTTTTAAAACTATTATTTTTTTTACAAATCACATAAGTTGATAAATACTTACAAGCAACTGTTTTAAATACGAGTAAATGGATGTTTAGCAAAATATTTTTACTTTATTAACAAGAAAAAATTTAGGAAATTTTGAAAAATTTGCAGTCAAGAGCAGTATTTTTTATTCGTATAATGAGTTTAAATTTGGGGTATTTTCATTTATTAAAACCAAAGTTTGCACCAAATTTTAAGAAAAACTTAATTTTGAATCAGTTTGACGGTTTTGTAAAAACAAATATACAGCGTGTTCCATTTTTATTGTTACAAATTTAAACAGGAGACAGAATATTCAATTTTAAGATAAAAGTTTCCTATGAACATTCTTGAAAAATACCATGTAAGGACGCTACACTCCCTGAAAGGGGTGGATTCTGTGTAATATTTCAGAAACCATTTCAGATAAAAGTAAAAAATTTGGTACAGCTGATTACCTTTATGTCGAAATTTTTAATCGGGGGCATCCTAAACTGGGGGGTTTAGGATAAAAGTACTATAACAACAACAAAATTCTAAATTCCATAGTTTTTTACTAAAAAGAAGTCTTTTGCGTTTTTACGATATAACTTACCTTTTTTGAGTAAAATCTTTCTAATATTTATATTACACTTGTTTTGTGGTGCTTTCTACCAAAAAAAATGTTTTTTTTAAACGTTTTAGTATGTTTTTAAGATAAAAACTCAAATTTTGAATAAGACTTTATCGAGACAAGATAAAATCACAAAATTAAATCGAAAATATCATATTTTTCACTTTCTCAAGCGTTTAAGAAAGTTCTTCAGCCAGAAATGCAATTTTTTTGCAAAATTTTGTCCGAACCAGTTGAATAATCGATAAAAATTGTGCTATTTTTGCTTTCTTAAGCAGTTAAATACATTTTTGAACCAAAAACTTCTTTTTTTCGCAATATGTTGCTAAAATAGGCCACAAAATCACTAAACTACGCTCTATTTTGGTCTGATTTTTTTCAAAAAATTTTATTCACAACCAAAAAACCACCAAGTTGGTGTACCTTTTAAAGCGTTTAACATGTTTTTGAGTTAAAAACTGTTTTTTTTTGCAAAATTTTAGGAAAAATATGACCAAATAATATTGTTTTTGACTTTTCTAGTTAAAAATGCACTTTTTTTCCGAGATTTTGCTCATTCAAGTCGTGAGATCTTCTAATTAGGTAAAAAATGGTGTTTTTTGCCATTTGTGAGTAAAAATCTTAATTGTTTTTTATAAAAACATGCCCAAAAATTAATTAGGCAAAAAATTATTTTATTTCCATCTATTTTCAAGCGAATAAAAACGTTTTCGAGCCAAAACTGTTTTTCTTTTCACAAAATTTTGCTAAAATAGTTAAATTAGGGTCGAAAACGACATTGTTTTTGTCTTTTTCAAGTAAAATTTCACCCAAATGAGCCAAAAAATTAGCAAATTAACTTGAAAATGGTATATTTTTTTAAACTGTGGGTTAGGATAAATAGTACTATAACTATTTTGGCTGAAATTTCTTGCCACTTTTAACAACAAAATTCTAAATTCGATAGTTTTTCACAAAAATAGGTCTTTTGCGTTTTTCGATACGACCCCATTAAAAAACGCATCCTTTTCAAAGGTTGTAGCTCCTTTACAAAACATTTTTTGATACATATTTATAGGACACTTTTGTCTTAAAATTAAATATTCTATCACCTGTTTAAATTTGTAACAAGAAAAACTGAACACTCTGTATACTTCAGGACTTTTCTATTGCCACACTGTTGCAAGTTTTTTGGGGTGAAATAGGTGACCAACATTTGATTTTTGGGTAAAAAAAATATGTTGCAAATAAACTTTTCTAACTTTACAACCAAAAAGCTCCACTTTTTCATATAAAAAAGCCAGATTGTGAATTTGAAAAAAAAAAACATTTTATACATTTCCTAATTATTAAAATTTTTAAAAATCTTTCTAAGGAAGTAAAAAGTGTTGGATCTTTGATATTTTATAATAAATAACAGTAACTCTATATTATTACTAATAAGTAAATAAGTGTTAATTATTTTGTAAACATTTGTTACTAGAATCTTAAAAAAATGTTTATCTGTCTGTGTTAGAAAACAAGTTTGATTCCGAGTTAGCCTTAAGAAAAATTCTTCGATGACAACTCATATTTTGTCTAAAATAACATGAATTATCGTGCCGGTGTTTATTGGAATAATAAATTAAGCTTGCGCTGTGTTTATGTTTACAGAAAATGGAAGAGGCTCCTAGGCCACTCCCGGTAGAAAAATATTAAAAATCCTTTATAAATAATCACATGCAAATACTTTTTATTCCTTACGTAACACCTAGTTATCAGTTATATTCAATAGGGAATTAAATCGCAAGGTTAAAAGTCTTTCTCTTGCGGAAAATAAATTTGCGGTAAAACACACCATTAAAACACGATTTAATTTTAGAATTATTATCAATTCTTGAATAGTATTATGCGGTAACAGATTCATGTTTTTAATAGCCTTTAACCATATGGTAAGTAATACAAATTGCGGATTTAATTATTTTAAAAATTTATTACTTTCCGTTACAGCTATTTAAGAGATCTTTTGCTGTTTACGTTAATAAAAATTTTATTAATAAACTGCGGATTTTGCCCGGTCATATTCTATAAATTTTTAATGCCAAGGGAAGTTTTTTCAAAGTTGTGAAAAAATAAATACGTGTCACACAAGGTTAAATTGTTGAACAAAACATCCCCTCGTGTTTAAAAATAGGTAATTAATTCGAGATGTAATCAGATAGATTAAGTCCACTGCAGCTTAATAAATTTTGTTATAGTGTTTTTATTTCATACAACAAAAATGTTAAAATACTGAACTTGAAACGAATTTTAATTCCCTAATACAATTTAAAGAACAAAAAAAAATTTAGAGGTCTATTTAGGGTTGTAAAAAATCAATTTTGAATACATGGTAGATTTACTAAAACAACGAAAGAAAGAAGTGTTTTTTTTTTCTCTTTTTTTTAAATCAATCTTGAGGTGTAAGAATTTTTTTTTCAAAAAATCGTAAAAGGGTAATGTAGGAAGTTCATTCCAGTTTTTGAAACCACCCTTACATATTCTGTTCAGTCATCGCTGAGATATCGATGATTAAAGAAAAAAAAAATGCTTTTTCAATAAAAATCAAATATTTCAGAGACAAATTAACGTAAAAAGAATATAAAAAAGCAAGTTGAAACTAAATAAACGAACTATCCAGCCTAGGTATTAATTTACTAAAAAAAATTGCAAGTATGTGAACCAAAAACAAAAAAAAATACATATTTTTCGCGTCAAAAGTCTCAAAACCAGAATTTGAAGCTTCAAAATGTTTTTTTAAGATACGACCATTTTTCACTGAAATACAGCTTTCAAAATCCACCAAAAAATTTTTTGTTCCCTTAATTTTTTGGAGTACTGATTTTCTGATGTGTTAATTCCATAAAAAAAAATAACTTTACTTAGAGACTGACCGTATTTTGAAAGTTTCATAATCAATTATCTGTTGTAATGAACACTTCAAACGTAAAATATACAGGATGTAGTAACAAAAAAATCACTAGTTTAATAAAAACTAATATTTAACCGAAAATTAACACTCCCAACATCGATTATTATTATTATTTACCTTCTAAGTCATGTTTACAAAATCAATCATGTGAAATAAAGTGTGCACTAGTACGAAATTAAAAATTCGTAATTACAAATTTATTATGTTTATTACATGATTCGACTGGTGGTGATATCTCCTAATGTAACTTTAGTTGTTAAACGTCGTTTTTTATGACTTGTTATAACACAACAATGAAAAACAAAGTAACAAACCCTGTTTTAGCATTTTATTAGTGTATTACACATGTGAACATGGCAATATAATGATATTTTATCATGTTTGTTACCGAATCGTCTATTATTTCTACCAGACTAGGGATGATACTCACATGGAAAACGTATTTGTGAAATTGATTCATTTTGAATAAGGGTTGAGTCAAAGCAGTAAAGCACTGAAATTACACTTTTTATCACAATTTTTGCACTTGGTGTTTTGTTAGACCGTTTTTGTGATATTTTCCGTGGCGCCAAGGAAAACGGTTGATACTCTAGGTCGTCGGTGCCGCACTGATCGATATTATTGCGTCGGTTGTGGGCTGTAGCCCAATTATATTTACTACACAACAATACTACAAAATGAACTTGTCACGACATAATTTTATTACAAAATTTTTAATATTTACAAGAAAACAGTAACCAAAAAGCAGAAATCATAAATCAGAGACAAGAAATCAAAAATCACCAATCAGAAATTTCCTGTTTTCTGAAACGCAGAAATCAAAAACCAGAAATCATCAATTAGAAATCAGTAATTAGACACAAGAAATTAGAAACAAGAAATCATAAATCATCAATTAGAAATTTTCTGTTTTCTGAAACGCATAAGTCAAAAACCCGTAACCAGAAATCAAAAATCAGAAATCATCATTTAGAAACCAGTAATCAGAAATAAGAAATCATTAATCAAAAACTAAAAATTTCTGTTTTCTGAAATGCAGAAAAGAGAAATCAAAAACCCGTAACTAGAAATCATTGATCAAAAACCAGAAATTACAAACCAGAAATAAAAAATCATCAATCAAAAACCAGGATCCAAAAATCATCAATCAAAAGCAAAATTTTTTTTATTTTCTGTAATGCAGAAATCAGAAACCCGTAATTAAAAATCAGAAATTATCAATTAGAAACCAGTAATCAGAAATCATCAATCAGAAACTAAAAAAAATTTGCAGATGCAGAAATGAGAAATCAAAAACCCGTAACTAGAAATCATTGATCAAAAACCAGAAATCAAAAATCATCAGTCAGAAACCAGTATCCAAAAATCATCAATCGAAACCAGAAATTTTTTATTTTCTGAAATGCAGATCTCAGAAACCCGTAATTAGAAATCAAAAATCATCAATCAGAAACAAAAAATTAGGAATTTTCTGTTTTCTGAAATACAGAAATCAGAAATTATCAATCAGACGTCATCAATCTAAATATGAGATCCAGGAATCAGAAACCCGTAACCAGAAATTTATTATTTTCTGAAATGCAGAAATCATAAATCCGTATTTAGAAATCAAAAATCATCAATTTCAAACCAGTAATCAGAAGCAAAAAATTAGAAATTTTCTGTTTTCCAAAATGCAGAAATCAGAAACTCGTAACCAGAAATCAAAAATCAGAATTATCAATTAGAAACCAGTAATCAGAAACAAGAAATCAGAAGTCATCAATCAAAAACCAAAAATTTTCAGTTTTTCTGAAATGAAGAAATCAGAAATCAAAAACCCGTAACTAAAAATCATTGATCAAAAACCAGAAATTACAAACAAGAAACCAAAAATCATCAATCGGGAACCAGAATTTTTTTATTTTCTGATATGCAGATATCAGAAATTAGTAATCAGAAATCAAAAGTCATCAATTAGATACCTACTGGTTTCTATATCAAAAACACGAAATTAAAAATTTTCGGGTGTTTGAAATTCAGTAATCAGAAATCATCAAATTGAATATGAAATGCAGAAATCAGAAACTCGTACCCAGAAATCAAAAATTAGAAACCAGTAATCAGAAACAAGAAATCAGAAGTCATCAATCAGAAATACAGACGTCGGAAATTAAAAACCCGTAACGAGAAATTATTGATCAAAAACCACAAATCACAAACCAGAAATCAAAAATCATCAATTAGAAACCAGTAATCAGAAACAAGAAACTAGAAAATTTCTGTTTCCTGAAATGCAGAAATTAAAAACCCGTAATCAGAAATCATCAATCAAAAACCAAAAATTTTCTGTTTTCTGAAATGCAGAAATCAGAAATTAAAAACCCGTAAAGAGATTATCATTGATCAAAAACCACATATCACAAACCAGAAATCAAAAATCATCAATCAGAAGCCAGAATTTTTTTATTTTCTGAAATGTAGAAATCAGAAACCCGTAATTAAAAATAAAAAATCGTCAATTAGAAACCAGTAATCAGAAACAAGAAATTAGAAATTTTTTGTTTTCTGAAATGCAGAAATCAAAAATCATCAATCAGAAACTATCAATCTGAATATGAAATACAGAAATCAGAAACCCGTAACCAGAAATCAAAAATCATCAATCAGAAACCAGAAATTTTCTGTTTTCTGAAATGCAGAAATTAAAAACCCGTAATCAGAAATCATCAATCAGAAACCAAAAATTTTCTGTTTTTCGAAATGCAGAAATCAGAAACCCATAACTAGAAATCATTGATCAAAAACCAGTAAAAAGAAAAAAGAAATTAGAAATTTTGTTTTCTAAAATGCAGAAATAAAAAACCAAACAGAAACCAGTTTCACTTAAAAAACACAAGTTTGTATTTTAACTTATTTTTGGGACACGCTGTATAGTTGAAAATAATTTTACTGGATTAGTGTCTCTCAATTTCCTATCTACATTTTTTCAAATTTTGACATTTAGGGGACAATAATGGACAGTGAAAAAAAAACTTTTGATTTCTTTATTTATGTACATTATTTTTTTACATGTCATTTTCTATTGGGTGCGATGGCTTTGATGCTAATTGGGTTTTTCCTGATGCATAAATCCATAAAAGCAATCACTAACATTAAAGCCTGACCTAGAAGTTCTTTATGAGCCGGTGATTGGACCAAATAATCACTTTTCAACTTTTCTTCAAAAGTAATAGAAGAACAGGGGAGTGTAAAATCATCGGGGGAATCACCCAATAATTGTAGTATTACAGAAGTGCATGAAACACACTCATTACCAACCAAAGTTTTAAACATCCTGAAACCAATAATTGAGTTTTTCAATCACTGGAATAAAATAAATACTATACCTTGCGGGTAATTTTGACCTTAAAAAATAGACAGAATTTTGTGAAATTTTATTGTGATTGGAGCTGGTGTTGATAAGAGCCAACAACATGGAGCACAATTCTAATTGTTGAGTGTAAGGGGGCACCGCTGAGGACTGTTTTTGGCCCATACTTGAATTCCCTTCAAATATGTAAGCGTCACCTGTCGGAAGTTGATTTAAAATATCCAAGGCCTAAAACCGAAACAGTTTTATTTACTATCTTTGTTTTAATCACTGATTTACTAGTTTAAACGTGTCAGTTGAAAACATCTTTTTTGGGAGATTTGTGAAGTCTTCATAGCCCCAAGATTCAAGCTGGTTTCCTGAGACACTTATTTTCGCCCAACTCACCCCCATGGGGGCTAAATGTATGCCTACTGCTGTTGACAAGTCCTAAAACAGCTTGTGAAAATTTGCCATAAGTGTTGGTTACATACAGTTGATGTTGGTAGTTGTGGTGTTAGAATTTGTCTCGTTTTTTTATTCTCATTAGTGGTGGTTTTTACATTTGGATTTGTGGAGTCCAAAATTAATTGTTTGCACATCTTCTCCAGCATTTTAACACTTAAGCCGTCGACTTCCAAAAGCTCATTAAGTGACTTAAATGGGCCGTTTCTCTTTTTGTAATTTTCTATTTTTTTTATATTAGTTTGGGCAACATTGAAACTGTAATTAATGTGTTAGTTTTAAAATTTTGTGAAATCACAAACTACCATTGTAATTGATCTTTGTTGGATTCGTTGAGGATATTTAGAATTTTTTCTTGCTCTGCGTTGTTAAACTTTGGTTCAATACTAAATTGGGACAAGTTTGGCATCAAGTCTGAACTGAAAAATCTCGCCTAAAAAATGTAATTTTATTTTCGGGTTTTTTGGTTTTAAATGTACCGTTTTTGAAAACAGTCGAGTCTTGAAAAACTGTCCTTTTATAAATAACATTGTTCGGAATGTTGCCACCTGAACACTTTTTTCGTACAATTTGGAAGTGAGTTAAATCATCTCGAACATAACGAAATTTAAGAGTTTTTTAGTTGTCCTATAACCTATGAAAAAATGTGACATAAGACATAACCTTTAACGGTTAAATGAAATCATTGAAAGAAGTAAGCAACAACCAAAACACCGGTGTTTTGTTGGTTGCAGCATTAGCTGTATTGTTTCGATGAAATAAACATGGTTATGTACTATTTTAAACATTTCACCATTTTATTTTTACTAATAATTACGTTTATTTTTTTCAGGATTAAACAATATCAAAAACTGGATTTTCAATGGTGGTACAATTTTTTTTAACTATTGATACGACTATTGATGCTTAAAAAAATAATTTAGGATTTTTATGTCTGATCATATTTACCTATTGTAAATCCGATTTTAAACATTTAATTGTTTTTTAGAGGTATGTAAAAAATTGAGTCTACTGCGTTTTGTCGCCAGTATTAACATAATTTCTGTTGCCAACATACACAATAACACATTAGAAGTAGTAGGCAGGTGTTGCCAACTTTGAAATAAATTCTGTAGTCAAATGGTCTCATATTTCAGTATTTTTTTTTGACTGAGACAGGAAAGGGATAACCATTTTTTAATGATATCATTAATCCGTGAAAATTTATGTGCTTCAGTCCGTAGAAGTTTTTTCTTTTTGTTCTTAGAGTTGCATTTTATTAATTTTTTATTTCACAAAGAATTGTGTAACAAAATCGCAATTAATTTATTTAATTTCAACCGACAGTTACCAAATTAACCAAATAATACAAAAAATAGGAGTGGTTTTTCATTTTCAATGATAAATTTGTATAAACTGAGTTATGTAAATCCGATTTTAAACATACAGATTTGTCAACAAGAAATTTGAATTCTTAGGAAAATCACGTTTTCATGTTGTTTGTACACTTAAGTGCAAAAAAAAACGCAAATTGTCAAAACCAAAATTGTCAAATTTTCAGAAATTTACTAATGTGAATAAGGTTGTTCCCAAAAAGGTTAGAAAACTATGAAAAGAAATGTCGTATTTGGTGGTCTTGCTAGTGCAATGTCATACTCAGTATTAAAAACGAAATGGAAAAACTTGATAGAAGTTGGAAGATGGTTGACAATTATGAAATTGAGAATTGTGACAAAGGCAACGTCAAAAAACTGGCATTTATTAACAGGTCAAATTACATTACAAAAAAAATCAATTTGCGTTTTTTTTTGCACTCAAGTGTAACTAGAATTTTCAAAGTAACTTTGAATGCTTAGGGTTGGTTACCGTTTGTTGTTGACGGTTGACATTTTCTGTCAATCTGCTGTCAACTATCAATTGAATTATCCATACAAGCTGACAGGTGACTTAACCTAAATTTTGACACTAGTTACTATATCACCAGAAACCGACCTAACCAAATTTATGGCAACCTATTCACGAATATCCCTAAATCCTAGGTAGTAATTTCTTGTTGATACGATAACATCTGTCACAAATAATAATACCGAAAAAATTGGGTTAGAGTACTTGCGTTTGTCACAATCACAACTGCTGACACAAATTTAGTTACTTGTTCGGTAAGTAGCCATTAAAACTAAGAAATAATGAGTAGGAAAGTCGTGACGTCACGGCAGCCTCGCGTTCCACATAGAGATGGGCAAAATGAAAGAAAAACATCGATGTTTACAACATCGATTTTTGATGACTTTTAATCGATGTACGATATACCTATCGGGTGAAAACATCGATATTCTATCGATGTTTGCAATTTGGTTTGCTTTTTTGAAAATGAGTCAAATAAGTGTGATACAAACAAAACATTTATTAAACATCAAAAATAAAAACAAACATTATTTAAAAATCAATACAATATTTCTTTCTATTTCTTCTTATCTACCAGTCTTCTTTTTTTTAATGAGTTTAAAAATAATATTTTTTTAAGTCTAGTTCCTTTAATTCTATTTCTTGCTTCGGGCATCGTGTCCTGCTTTTGAAAATAGTCAAAATTGACAGATTTGTTATTACAGGTCCCTACATTCCCTACGTCCTACATTGTATTAATATCAATTGTAAAAAAACAGCACCACAGTCAGTGCTACAAACTTTATTGAACATAAAAAAAAAATATGAAAACACAGTTAAATATTAAAAAAAAAAACTGAACAAAACATCGTAACCAAACACATCGATTGTTACCGATGTTATGTCATCGATGTTGTAAGCAAAAAATCGATGTTTTAATAACATCGATGATTCTTGCCCATCTCTAATTCCACACAAACACATGTGTAACCTGTCAAAATATGCAATGTTAACCTAACCTCATTTTCGTAACTTTGAATTTTATCACAAAAAATTCGATACTACATAAACACGTTATGTTGTAAACGAAGTTAAAACAAATGACAGACACACTTTGCGCATGCGATTTAAGTTTGTGTGGAATGCAAACCTGCCCCTACGTCACACTTTCCTAGTCAAACTTCAGCTACCAACATAAACACAACACAGACACTAGAGATTGCGGGCTGGGTGCTGCCAACTTTACAATAAATTAATGTCCACTTTAGATTCGTTACAAGCACTGGCAACCCTGCATTCAAGACGCCTCTCTCTTTTCCACGTCGAGGTCGAAGCTCTCTCTCACTCTAAGTCTCATCTAGTGGAGTTTAATGTTTAATCATTGGTGTCATCACGTGGTCATCAAGTTTTTGGGTGAAGAATTACCAACTTTGACGTTTTTGGAGGAACACTGAGAAATTAAAATCGGCTGAGATGGCTGTGAGTTACTCAACTCGACAGTTGCAAAACACGTGTCTAGATATCGATTCGAAGTATTCTTGCCCAGAATGCGGAAAGAGTTTTCGACTGAAGTCGCATCTGACACAACATTTGAGGAAACATACCGGGGAAAAACCGTACAAATGTGAACAGTGCGGGAGACATTTTGGACTGAAGATTAATTTGTTGCAACACAAGAGTATACATACGGGGTTGATGCCGTATCCTTGCCCAAAATGCCGCAAGAAATTTCGACTAAAAGGGCAGTTAACAACCCATTTAAGGATACACACCGGGGAAAAACCGTTCAAATGTGGAAAGTGCGGGAGATGCTTTAAACAGAATTCTCATTTGTGGCAACACAAACTTATACATCAGCGGACAAAGGCGTTTTCTTGCTCAGTATGTGGAAAGAAATTTCGACAGAAGTGTTCTGTGACGCAACATTTTCTGATACATACCGGGGAAAAACCGTACATATGTGGACTGTGTGGAAAACACTTTAGACACCAGTCTGGTGTAAATATACATATGAAGGCACATCACGGTAAGTTGGCCAAATTGTTTTTTATTTAATGTGTTTTTTGTGACGCACGAAGCGAAGCTGAGTGCTTCAATCTATAAAATACTCAACTCACTAATAATGTAACAAAACTTTTTGTACTATTTTTTTATACTAGCGTGCGATCAAATAAAAAATAAATTAGAGTAGGCGTCGATTAAATTCTACATTGGCTGAGAATTTGGACTGGAAATTTTCCACACAAATTGAAAGTGAAAATGACCATCTACGGTTTTCCTCTTGTACAGCAATAAAAAAAATTTGCTCTAAAGTGAACATTATTTCACTCAAAAGGAATAAAACGCAAACTTGTCAAAGTTTCCGCTGACATTTGATGTCAAAAATCAGGATTGCCATCTGAAGGACTTTAATCACCGCCTACTCTAATTTATTATTTCTTTGATCGCACGGTATTTATTAATCGATTTGGATGTGTGCTTAGTAAAAAATACAATAAATCAATTTGTTTGAATTATTATCAGAAGACTTATTGAGAAAATATTAACTATATTGATTATTGCTTTAAAACTCTCAGCATCATTAAATATGAAACTAATAAAGACATGCCATCTAGATTCCCAGGCAATTTAAATTATGGGTAATGAATGAAGGGGTGGTCGTAACATGCGACAAGATATTCTAATTGAATTTCATTATTGATATTTATATTTTAATAAGATGCTTGCAATAAAGAAAGCAACAAAGAGCGTTTTTGACAAACAATTTCATATTCGAATAATTTTGAGAAAAATGACATAAAAAACAACTGTTACAAACACTCTTGTGACACACTAGATGAGTGATGAGACTGATGACTATTGTTTTGTATAATTTGTTTAAAAAAATAATTTAATCAATGGCGTAACACAGAAAATCCGGGTAGGCAGAAAATTGTGTTCTAATTATTCCTGAATTTTCGTCAATTAAAACGGACCCACCCTGTATACAATTTATTTCAAAATGGTTTTCATTCTAGTCGTCTATGGAATTTCTCTACATGCAAATTTTTTTGTGCTGCTCTACTCTTTTTGAACCAAATAGTTCTGTCAACAGTGACAGCTGTCAATCGAAATAAGTTAACATTTGAGGTTAATTAGTTTCAATATTTTTTAAAGCGGCATTTTTTATTTTACATGAAAAATTCATAGGCGAGTATGAGAAAATCATTATAAAACACGTTGTATACAGGGTGTGTCAGAATTTGTTTTTCAGAGAAAAATTCCAAGTAAGATAACATACAAGGAACATGGAAATAATGTTTAAAAATTGAAAAAAGATTTTGACATTTGACATTTTTTTATGTCTCTTTAATGATACTGATGATCTTGTATATGTTTTTTTATAATTATTTAGTAATGGTACAACAATTTTGACTATAAAAGCCACAAATAACATTGAACAGTGTTAGAACTTAGGATACAGCTTCCTTTTTTTCTCTTATTACAACCTGTAGCAAAAAATTTGGAAAATTATTTTTCCAACAGAAATGTGTATTTCTGTCTGTCAAAGTTCAAAATTTAAACTCTCATAACTTCGAAATTTTTATAGATAGAATTTTTTAAAAATTTTTTTCGTGTTCTTGGTATCGTATCTTACATGGCATTTTTCTTTGGGGCGCACCCTGTATATGAAAATTCAAGCTTTCAAGTGAATAAAGTTGTGGCCATAAATTTACAAACTTGACATTTGGAGACGTAGTTTCGCTTTTTAACGCATAGTTTATTTTTTGTTCTTTTTAGTGTTTTTTTTTTGGTATAAAATTAAAAAAAAAATTGACATTTGACTTTTTTATGTCTAATTGTTACCGCTGATCTTGTGTATGTTTTTCCATGGATTTTTTCCATCTTTCTGGTTTGAGGTTTTTTTAAAGCGGCATGTGGAAAATCATTTTGAAACACATTTCTGCATATTTTTTTGATAATTATTGATTTTCTACATGTGAACGCCCTTCACTATTTATTTTGGCTACGCCACTGGTTAGACCGTCTTAATGACTCATCATGTTCATCTTTCGTTCTATGGACTTTATGCACAATTTCGAACAAAGTCCTAAAGTTATGCCAATTCAATAATTCAGTATTACCAACTCAAACAATCATCTAGAGTGTTACAGTTGCAATGAAATCAAATCAAAGACAATGAATAATAAGACGAAAAACGTTTTCGAAAAGTTGTGTCAAATCTTATTCAATTTTTTTTTTTTGTAATAAAACAATAAAAAAAACTATGGGTTAATCAAGTCCACACAACGAGCATTATTTTAGCTCCGTTCGAAGCGGAGACCTGCAGTTTTGGTAAATCTCGTTCTCTCACGACTCGGGTCATTTTACCGTCAAAATTTTTATTTATATACACCCACATAGATAAAATTCTTATTATTATGAACACTGCTTTAGTTTTAGTTTAGATTAGTTAAAGTTTCCATTTTTTTCTTGTTTTTTTCAGGAACATAAACCTATTTTTTTTTAATTACATTTCATTCTGCAACTGAGCCAATTTCAGGATTTCAAAATAACCTCATTCACAATAATTCATAATCTTAATCATTATGTAAATACAACGTAGTCCAATCATTTTAGCCCCGTTAACATTCATTCTTCATATAATGTAAAATCAAGGTCAAGTAAAAATAATACTCTTGCCATTAGGCAACCAAATTTATTTCCTATCTCATTCACTCGGTAACAACCTGATCGTAAAAAGCACCGGGGCATGCGCACTTGCTCAATTTTTGCTCAATTTCGATCAATTCGAGTCCCCCAAAAGCAAAAATACTTCTCCTACAATCCTAGGACAAAAAAGTTACATCAATCTTAATTAGACAAAACAAGAATCTAGAGATCTGAGATATTGGTAAATA